TTACACATCATCATTCCTCCAAGAGAAAATTATTAAATAAAATCATCTTACAATACAATCATTTATTTTATATTACTATATTTACAATATTAATTAAATATGTTCAACAATTGTGTTTGCAATTCATTTAACTTCTGCTCCACCTCTTCCACTCTCTTTCTACCTTCCACCACCATTCTACAGCTGCTTTCACGACTTTTCTTCAGATCCTCCAACTCTTTCTCTTTCCGCTTTATTTGTTCCAAAACTGAAGCGTCCTTCATGTCATGGTCCTTTATTTCACCTTCCCGTTTTCGCTTCTCCCGTTGAAGTGTCTTCACTGCTTCTCGCACCTGCTCCACCAGCTTTGAATAATCCAACGGACCGCCCGACACTCTTCTATTGTATGTCCGCTTCTTAGGCTTCATACTTACAGATTTATCGCACCCTACCGGCGTCCGCGATGTACTAGCCACAGGTACTGCTATCCTTTCCGTAGCTACATCTTCTACACATGATCTTCCTCCACCGACTGTCTTCGTGTCCAACTCATCGTTGTGGAAGAACTCCTCCAGCATCGCTGACAGCTCCGATTCGTCCAAGCTAATCACTTACGCATCTGCCGGATCACACTGTCCCAATTCAGCCATTTCACTTAATCTTTTCCTCTATACATGTCTCTTAAATATCTTCAAACCATCCCCACCACCCCCTACAGGCCTCACCTTCTTCATTTTCTCCCACTCACATTTTCTTACGTTGTTATAATCTACTTCGCACACGGTCTTCCTCAGTCTTTCTCCAGACGCCTCTGTTACATCTAAACGATATGATTCGTTGTCCGGACTGCAATACGTCCTTTACGCGATCTGACAATTTAAAACGACATCGTGTCGTAAACGAGTACAGTACCATCCTAATTCGTCGCTACCGACTAAAAAACCGAAATGTGCTACATCTGCCACCTCTTCCGACAGCTGATGTAAAACGTGCAAAATATATGTTCCTCAATCTTCGCACAACGGTCACCTGCGCACCCTACAGCATAAACAAAATTGTTGTTCACCTCTTGAGGAGGGAATCGGTTTCCTTTCCTCCGCTTTCGCTAGCAGGATTGCTTCGTTTCGTATTACGTCCGCGAAATACCTTCTATCGTATATAACGACTTTTTCACCGATGTTCTCGACAAATGCGTGCGTGTTATACGTAATCAGATCCACCTCCACGACACACTTAAAATAAATCTGGAAGTTTTTGGACGTTACGTGCACGAAACCAAACAGGTGGTTGAAATTAAATCCTTCAACACCAACAACAAAGTTGTGACTCAATCCATCGATCTTCCCAATCCTCTACAAAACTTCTTTGAGATACTTAAGGCTAAAGCGTCAGAGTTTCAAGAACGAGAGTCAGGTAACTCATCCTTTTTTAGTATACGTTTCATTTCATTTAACATTTTCGCATTTCTACAGGATGCATTTTAGAAAAGGTTCTTTTCTTTGAAATCAACTTTAACAAGTACAATCCGCTGAGAGCGCCTTCCTACATTCCGTTACCGAAACAAATTTTATTCAAGAAAGCGGTTGTGAATGTGCGAAACGACGAGAAACGACGATCAGGCCTGCTTCGCATGGGCAATTACGTCAGCTCTGTATCCCGCACAAGCGAACCCGCAAAGAACCACTTCCTATCCACATTACTCCCGCACTTTGGACTACGACGGTATCCAATTTCCTATGAAATTAACTGACATACCGAAATTTGAATCGAAGAACCATTGCTCTGTGAATGTCTACGGGACTGAATCCGTTTTGAAAGATGGAAAGTGGACATGGGAAATCGTTGGCCCCCTTTACTACTCACCCATCAAGCGACGGCTACACTTCAATCTGCTCTTGCTCGATGATGATCTAGGAAATAATCATTACTGTTGGATAAAGGACATGTCCCGTTTACTTTCTCAACAACTTTCTAAAACTGGACATCGCAAATTCTTATGCGACGGTTGCCTACAATACTTCTCCACTTTACCTCACCTACATCGTCATCAGCAGCATGACTGTAATCATGTCTACACCAGCCTTCCCAACGGTGATTTCAAGATGGATAAGATGGGTAGGTTTGTCCCCAATCACATTTTAAAATTTGAAAATTATCAGAAACGTATCAAAGTACCATTTGTTGTATACGCAGACTTTGAAACCGTACTGCGACCAATTCACACATGTTTTCATGACCCTAATAAGACTGCCACCACATCCACCCACAAACATCAACCTCATTCCTTTGCTTATTTGATGAAGTGCTCCTTCGATGATTCCCTCTCGAAATTCAGATCGTATCGAGGCCCCGATTGCGCCAATCAATTCGTTACAACTCTCGATCGAGATGTTTATGATATTTATCATCGATATTTGAAGATCGTTTCTCCCATGATACCCCTGACAGATGAAGAAATACGTCTCTTCTCTGACGCTACCTCTTGCAATATTTGCGAAGAACCCTTTCTGGACGATGACGTCAAGGTGCATGATCATTGTCATTTGACCGGTAAAGTTCGATTAGGAGCTGCTCACTCCAGATGTAATTTAAATTACAAACTACCCAACTTTGTACCTGTTTTTTTCCACAACCTCTCCGGATATGATTGCCACTTGTTTCTAAAGGAAATGGCTGTGAACGATGTTAAATTTACCGTAATAGCTCAAAATAAAGAAAAACACATATCCTTTTCTACATTATTACGAGTTGATTCGGTTCAAACTGAAACAGACGACTCAACACAAAATGTGTTCGTGAAGATTAGATTTCTCGATTCCTATCGTTTCGTGGCTTCCTCCCTCGACAAGCTGTCGGATGAACTTGATGCTCATCAATGTTTGCAAGTGAAAAAATTATTTCCCGATCCCTATCACTTTCCACTTGTGCGACGGAAAGGTGTTTTCCCTTATTCCTACGTTGATGATGTTGCTAAGCTTGATGAAACAATATTTCCACAGAAAGACGATTTCTTCGATAAATTGACTTCCCTCCACGTTTCCGATGACGATTACAAAAGAGCTAAAGCTGTTTGGAATACTTTTTCATGTCCATCTCTAGGAGAATACTCCGATATCTACTTGAAAACAGATGTTCTTTTGCTAGCTGATGTTTTCGAGAATTTCCGACAAATATGTCTCACCACTTACGACTTAGATCCTGCTCAGTATTACACAGCGCTAGGGCTTGCGTGGGATAGTATGTTAAAATTCACTCGCGTTAGTTTACAACTTCTGACTGATATCGATATATTAAAATTTTTTCAAAAAGGGGTACGTGGAGGAATAAGTCAATGCGTTCAAAGAATGCACTTCGCTAACAACCCTCACATCCCCGATTACAACGCGTCCGCGCCTACCTCCTACATTATGTATTTGGATGCTACTAATTTGTATGGACATATTATGAGTCAAGCACTTCCTATTTCCCAATTCCGTTGACTAACCCAAGCCGAAATTGATGAATTGAATGTTCTCTCTTTACATGCTTCTTCTGAATACGGTTACGTACTTGAAGTAGATGTTGAATATCCCCAAAACCTCTATGATTTACATGCTGATCTCCCTTTTTTAGTTGAAAGCATTATCTCTCCTGCTAATGTGAATGGTAAAGTCAAAAAACTGATACCGAACCTTATGAATAAGACAAAATATGTTCATCATTATCTTACGCTTCAACAAGCCCTTCATAATGGACTATGATTACTTAAAGTTCACAGAGTTATCCAGTTTAAACAGTCCCACTGGCTTAAACCATTAATCGATTTAAATACCCGACAACGTAATTTGTCTGAAAATAAATTTGGGAAATCCTTCTTCAAATTACTGAACAATAGTGTTTTCGGAAAAACAATGGAGAATATTGATAAACGAGTTGATGTAAAATTAGACACTCATTGGTAAAATTCTGGACGCTTTCTTGGTGCGGAAAGTTTAATAGCTAAACCTAATTTCAAAAATTCTAAGATATTCACTCCCAATTTCGTAGCCATTCAGATGAATAAATTACGTATTATTTACGATAAACCTCTCTACGTTGGTTTTACTATCTTAGATTTATCAAAAGTTGTTATGTACGACTTCTACTACACCTTTCTTAAACGAAAATATCAACACAACATTTCCTTGATGTACATGGATACCGATTCCTTCATTTTGAAAGTGTTCACTGAAAACTTTTACCGAGACATTACTGAAAATATTAATCACTTCGATACTTCCAATTATCCGCGCGAGAATAGTTTCAATATCCCCATTACCTCATCTGTTATCGGTAAATTCAAAGATGAGTTCCCTAATAATCCTATTAAGGCATTTTATGGAACCGGAGCTAAAGCTTACTGTGTTGAAGCGATTGATCAAATTGTTAAAAAAGCTAAAGGTGTTAAGAAAAACGTTATTAAATTACATCTCGAAATTGACGATTACCTTCGCGTTATTAGGGACGATTCCACCATTATAAAATGTATGAATGTTTTTGTTTCTGACCTTCATACTATGTTCACTCAAATGAAAACTAAAGTAGCTCTTTGCCCTAAAGACGATAAACGTTTCTTGATTCCGAAAACAACTAATACGCTTCCGTGGGGACATTACAATATAAAAAACTCTGAACATTCTGTCTCAAAGTTGAACAGCAAAATTGATCAATTAATCCAAAATTTTAATCAACCGCACACAGACAATTTAACGGTTGGGGAATATTTTATTCAAAAACTTTTTGAAGCTTCTTCACTTCCAGAAGAATCTATTGATAATATTTACGAAAACCTTACATAACAATAAGTGTATAGGCTATATGTGTATATGTAAATAATGCTTCAATATTATATTTCAAACGTTTATCCTTACTATTGTCTGTATAGTCTCATGTGTTTAAATAAACGTCACAATACGGCTTTGCCTTTAACTAACTTTACAAATTGAATTATCTTTCTGAACGTTGAAACAAAACACGGAATGTTTCTGCTGTTACAATTTATTGAGTTATTAACATTAATAATGAGTATATTTTTTTATAATCTTCCATATTAGTTGATGGCCATTTGCCTGAGTCCGGACCGCTTTGCCAGCCTGGAGCCTTTTCCGTTCCTTCTCGTAAAATGTTTTCTTCTATCCAACTCACCACTGTCTGATGACGACCGCTAATGTTCGGACTTAAAGCATATGGAAGCCGCAACAAATTTATTAGCTTAATACACTTTTCCAAATATTTCGGTTGCGCGTAGTATGCCACATCCATTATTAAGTCATCTACACACTTTAGTAGTGTTCTATACGTTTTCTTTACGTTAACGATGGAGAATCTTTTGTTCTTGACCAGAACCGATCCGTTTGTCAAAATTTCCTTTAGAAAATACACATCGTTTCGCGTGTAATTACTATTTGTTTAATTTAAAATGTCTTGGACATCATCACCGGTTATCTCCACTTTTTCACCACATGCTTTCAAAAAATCACTAACGAATGTATCATACCGTCGTTTTATTTCGAATATGAAATACAAAATAACAAACGATGCCTCTTGCGACATTGTTAACCACTTGAATACCTGCTTTGGTACTTCAACACCCAACTTTGAACACACAACTTTCACTCTATCTAAATCATCGGATAGTATTGCTCTTCGTAAATTGATAACGAGAGTTTGTCTTTCTGCTTGATACAACTCGTAGGATAAGGAATCCATTTTTTATATAAATTCTATTTCTAAATCGTCAGGCTCGCTCTCTTCGTTTACTAAATAACTTGTTATTACAAGTTTATCGTATCCATCTTTTAACTCAAATTCTTGTACCACGTTCTCCAACTCTGACGCTACCAAATGTTTTCTATCAAACAATAAACCGTCTTTGAAAAATTGAACTTCAATTACATAACTCTCTACCATTACTACGTCTTTAACTTTCAGTGCGGTAACTAACGATCTCAACTGGCTACATTCACCACGTTTAATGTTATTTATAATCACACTTTGGGGAGGGGGTATAAAAATTCGTAAACGTTTTACCATTTATTAATATAAAAATCTATGACTACATCACAAAGCGTTTCTTTTATGGATCCAGCTATTGTGAGATTGGTCGAGTCCTAACCATTTCACGTAAACCATATCACCTTTACGTCTTAATACTCGCTCCACCAAAAAAACGTCTGGATATGCAGCTTTCTGTAATTCCATACCATAAAATCCTCCTTTTATGTCTTCCCCTTTATCGTCCTTTAAGTAGTACATGATCGGATCAGACAATTTTATACGGCTTATTGTAAATAGTTCGTTGGACCAATTCGGTGTATAACCTTTGCTAAACGATTCACGATATTTACTTATTCGTACCCGGTCCCCCACTTTAAACTGAATTCTTCGTAAATCCACCTTTTTCGGATTGTTGTAAATACTTTTCAAAAGTGTTTCTTCATTTCGTCTATTGACTTTGCTTGGTTTCATTCCGATGGTTCTGTGAATCTTATTGTTGTATTCACTTACTATATCTTGTAATATATTCAACCATTTGTAGGATCCTTGTAAACTGAAGCGCTGCCACATTTTTGATTTTAGCGTTCTATTTACCCGTTCCACAACTGATGCTTTCTTTGTGCTATACGTTGAATAATGGTTAATTTTATGTTTCTGCATTACTTTCTTCACTTGTTCGTTATAAAATTCTTTTCCTAGGTCAGTTTGCATATTCTTAGGAATACGTTTATTTCTTTTGAAAATTAACTGTAAAGCTCTTCCGACATATTCACCTGTTTTCCGTTTTACTGCTTGAGCCCATACAAATTTTGAGAAAACGTCTATTATAACTAAAATATATCGGAAACCTTTATTTTCTCTCGCATACGGAATCATTTCAACTAAATCGGCTTGATGTAGATCATCCAATCCTTTAACAACTACCTTACGGCGCGAGAAATTAATCCTTGCAGGTTTATGCAGTTCTTTCACAACTTCCTCTTTCACGTCAGACATTCCTTTCTGTTGACGACAACTACACAGACGATGCCTATGTTGGTTTAGAACTGCTCGATTTTGTACTTCCAGCTGCTGTTTGTTCTAAAGTATCCAATCTTACCTTAAGATCGTTTGCTTCTTTTTTAATGACTCCACCATTTTCACTAACTCCTTTTCCATGTCTTCCTTCTTTTTATTGCTTAATTCAATTTCTTTCTCTGCAAATTCCATAACTTTCTTGCAGTCATCCTTAATCAATGTCTTTATTAATTCGACACTCACATCTATATCTCTTTTCAAATTTGTCAGAATGTCGCTCTTTAGTTTCTTCGACAATTCTTCGTCACCTTTTCTAACAAATGTTTCTACATTTTTACACTCCACTGTAATTTTTGCTGAAAGGGTGTCCATGATTATGACGCCATTCTTTTTCATCACATCCTTAACCATTTTTGTTATTTGCTTATCCCTATCACTATTATAATTTTCAATTTCTCTTCCCATATTTTTAATTAATATATCCATTTTATGACTAAATGTTTTCATCATCTTTTGATCACTTTTGGAGACAAGTGTTTTTAATTCTTCTCGTAAATCCTTCATCTTTCTATCACCTTCAGTGACAGCGCTATCCTTTACTCTTTCACATTCTATTCTGATATGTTCTGTTGTTAACCTATCCTTTTCGTCTACATATTTTTTTGTAGCTACATGGAAGCCAGCTGTAGGCTCATTCAAGTGTATAATACGTTTATTAGCCACGTCAACAAAATACAGTACTTTGTCGAATGACTTTCTAATAATCACTGTATCATCTTGAGATAAAAGAAGTTTCAGCTTCTTCTCCAAAAATCGTACATTAACAGCATCATGCTCCTGCTGAGGGTCCCCGATTCTTGTTAAGCGGTTATGATTAAAATCGTGAACATTGCTAAATGCTTGTGAATATGATCGTTTTTTTTCTAACGCACGTCCGAACTTATCGATCGCCAGTATCTAACTAACAACCCCTCCGAATCGTTTATTCGATTATATTAGACTCCCGCAACTCTTCTAAAATTGATTGCATTTCGTTTTCATGATTTGTGTTGCCTGCTTGTTGAGAAGCAACCAATAACTTTAAACGATCACACAATTCATTAACATCATCAAAATATTTGTATTCTATCGGTTTTTCGTTGTAAGTCAACAACGATAAGCCTCCACCTTTAGAAGGCTTCGTTGTTTGCTGCCTTAAATTGTATACTGCTCCCGTACGTTTTAATATATCCGCATAGTCTCTCCGTTCTTTAATTGATGTCGGATATTCAGAACTTAATTTAAACAGTTGCTCGTATAATCCCACAGTACCTGTGTATTTAAATTTTCCATCGATTACGACGTCTGATCCATCAAAATCTATTTCAGAATCACCGATAAAAAATTTATTTGTGTCCCATTCGTATCGAACTTTGTCAAGACGGGGATTCACAACGTCAGTGTTAAATCTATCACCTTCATAGTCTTTAATAATTCCTTCTATATAGTCACGAGGTAGAGGATCGAATTCCTCCAAATATTCTCCAAATCGAGAGCTATTGATATAATCTATATATGCTTTTTTTAATTGTTCGAACTCACTGTCATCCCTTCTTGGGTCAACTTCATATACACTTTCTTCCCTTAAGAAGGAAGGAGGACCTTGAAGTATGGTAGCTGGAGCATTCGAAGGATCAAGTTTTCTAATTTTTATTGGAGTTGATGATGCTGGAATATCAACTTTCGACCAATTAACAACCTCTGGTTTTAATTCCTTTTTGATCTCTTCACCCAACTCAGATTTCAAGTGAAGAAGCGATTTTGTAATTGGTTGATAAGCTTGTTGCAATAGAAGATTCTGTCCTACCATCGATTCCTTTAACATTTGCAGTTTCCTCTTTACTGCTTTCCTAACTTTGATTAGTTCTTTCTTTGCTTTCACATCCATGCTGTTGTTATGGTTGTCTTTTAACAAGTGGTTTCATTTATATTACCTACAGTAATATATATTTATCGAATCCTATGCGATATCTCCCGTCATTTATACCACAATCCTTGTTAATAACTACAAATCCAAATTTTTCTTTCCAACATTCTCCACATATACTTTTAAATTGGTCAAAAGTCATATCTGCAGTAACATGGTCGGAAAAAACGTGTTTTAGATTTAATTCGTCTTGTTTAAACAGTATTATTAAATTAGCATTATCTCTGATTAAATGTTTAGGGATCTGAGCATATGTTTGATTTAAATAAAAAGTATCGATTGAGTTATGCCTTCCCATACTAAAATATTCTCTTATCTTACTCTGATTGTCATTCGCAACATCATCAAAGATGAATACAGAATTAGGTTTCGCCTGTGATGGACCTATTACTTCATCAGAATTTCTAAAGGGAAAATAACCAATTCCAGCAATTGGTTGTAATAATTCATTTAAATATTTATATTTTGGTTGATATAGCGACTTTGAATAAACATAAACGTTTTCAAACCGTAAACCGTTTGGTTGCTCCAAAAGTCCTATAATCACATTTGTTTTTCCACAGTTTGAAGGTCCAGCGACGATGCATCTTATTGTTGATGGTAATAAAGGCCCATGACGATTTATTTTCGCAGCAATGTTGAAGTCGCGATTGGTTATCGGTAGAGCAGATGGATGTTGTACTATCCGCATGTTTCTTCATTATTAAACGATTTTGCTGTGTTAACGGATATATAAATTTAGAGTTAACGTTGCTTATATAGTCAGTTGGTTCGCAATAGTGAAAGCACTCACACCAAACCTAATACATGAAACGCGGCGTTCTGAATAGTATTATAGATAAGTTACCCATTGAAATACACCTCCCAGGTTATAATTTTTGTGGTCCAGGGACACGATTAAACAAACGATTAGCGAGAGGTGATATCGGTATAAATCCTCTCGACGAATATTGTAAATTGCACGATATTGTATACGCAATTTCACCAGACATTTCACAACGTCGAATAGCGGACAAGGTTTTAGCGCATCAATCTTTACGAAGACTAAAGTCATTAGACGCATCTATAGGTGAACGCTTTGAAGCTCTCGCAATTGCTCCGGCTATGAAGACTAAGGAGAAACTTGGAATGGAGCACAAACGACGACGACTGCGTCGTAGTAAAAAAGGTGATTCGATTCCGTTGACTAGAATAAATAAGAGAAAACGAATAAAAAAGGGGGAGTTCTACCGTTTCGCAAATTAGTAACAACTGCGAAACTTGTTCTTAAGAAAAATAAGCCCTTACAGTTATTAGAGGCTGCTAAAATTGCACTGAATCAAATTCGAAAACTTGGAAAACGATCTAAATTTCCTAGAATTATACCCATTCCAAAGACAGGTGGTTTTTTACCGTTAATTCCTATTTTTTCGGGACTATCGGCACTTGGAGCTCTTTCTGGTGGTGCTGGTGGATTGCTAAAACTGAACAAGATTCTAAATCAGGGTAGCAACAACTAGAAGAAGCTAAACGTCATAACACTTCAATGGAAGCCATTGCTCTAGGGAAAAATATTTCCATACAACCTTCCCGTAAAGGTTTCGGTTTATACCTTAAACCGTTTCAACAAAAAAACACAAATTTTTTCCTGAAATTGCCTAATCGTCCTCTAACAGATTCAGATTTACACAATTACATTCGCTATTTACAAATTCCACATTTTCGTGGAATCTTCATGCGTAACGAATTACCAGGAAAAGTTATGAAAGTGGAATTGTTAATTTAGATACCGGAACTGGTACACATTGGACAGTGTATGTAAAACGAAACAGCAAAGCTATTTACTTTGACAGTTTTGGTAATCTTCGTCCACCTAAAGAATTGGTTCAATATTTACAATCTGCTGGACCTTGCGATATCACTTATAACTACAATCGTGTTCAGAACCCTACCGATTTTAACTGTGGTCATTTAGTTTTCCAATTCCTGCAGAAGATTACGTAAATCCTTTTTTAATACAAACCATCAAAATTTCTTCTCTGTATTAAACAGAACGTTAAACCGAAAACATGTCTTACACATTCGCCTTGACTGCTACAACGTCGGAGCTACTAATGATAATAAGTCCACCGATTGTTTTAAGCGATGATGATGAATATCAAATAGCATTATTAAATTTTGAAGCCTACAACAGCATTCCCAATATTGATGAAAATAACAACAAATTTTATTTTGAAGATTCTAAGAAACCAGTCGTAGTTCTTCCGGAAGGATCATATGAAATTGATGATATTAATAATTTTCTTCAGGAGAAATTGGGAGATACTAACGATAGCATTCACTTGTCTGGAGACAATACTACATTAAAAAGTCGTATAAAGAGTACCAAAAATGTTGACTTTACTCCAACAGATTCTCCGGCGAAGATATTGGGTTTTGAAAATAAACTTCTATCATCGCTTCAAGAGGAGTCCGATCATGTAGCTGACATTTTCAAGGTAAACGCAATTTCAGTAACATGTAACCTTGTATCTAACTCCTATATACATACTAATGATGCTACTAAAGGACAAGATGGACATATATTACATCAATTCTTTCCAAATGTACCTCCCGGATTTAAAATTGTAGAGAATCCCACAAGTCTTATATATTTATCTATCAACACACGTGTCATCGATTACATTTCCCTTAAAATAGTTGATCAAGACGGTAATCTTGTTAATTTCCGTGGAGAGCGTGTTACAGTAAGACTTCACTTACGAAAACTATAACATGGTTGCGCGATACAACTGTGTCCAACGTTATTCCAACAAAAATACTACTATAAAACGATCACCACACTCTGAGACGTTTATTTCGCTTACACCCGTTCAGCGATTAACACCGTCTAATAAACAGTTCCTTAAATCTTTGGGGTTGCGATTGAAAAAGGTGAAAAGTTAAAATGGTTGCAGAAATACTAAATGTCACCGAGAAAGCAGTCTTCGACAACGCTATTATTAACGCTGATAAACATACTCATCAACCCTATGCTAATTCAACTTTTAAAAATAATGATACCATACGCATTCCAATAGAAAATGAAGATGTTTACACCTTACCTTGCGGTAGTTTCCTATACATAGAAGGACGTTTACTGAAAAAGGATGGAACTGTACCAACTAATACTACTTTTATCAATAACGGAATTCTATACCTATTTGATGAAATTCGATATGAATTGGGAGGAAAAGTTATTGATCGAGTCCGAAATCCTGGTATGACTACAACAATGAAAGGCTATGCGTCTTACAATGAAAATGAAAGTAAACGTCTCATTAATAGTGGATGGTTGCCTCCTGCTTTAGGTGCTGTAAAAGGAGTTGCCCTTCATACCAGAAATCTGATTGATACAAACGGTTACTTCAACGTTTGTATTCCTCTTCGTATGATTTTAGGGTTTGGAGAAGACTTTCGAAAAATAATACTCAACATACGACAAGAATTAGTTCTAGTTCGCAGCAGTACTGACAATAATGCCCTCTTTTGCTCAGCAACACCGGCTGAAGAAGTTGATGTCCATTTGGATCAGATATGTTGGAAAATTCCTCATGTATCTGTTGCTGACGCTGAACGTTTGAAATTATTACGTTACGTTGATCGCAATTTAAATATGGAACTTTCTTTTCGTAGTTGGGAACTACATGAATATCCCTTACTTAACCAATCACATTCTCACAACTGGGCTGTGAAAACTACATCACAGTTGGAAAAACCTCGCTTCATTATTTTCGGTTTTCAAACCGATAAAGGTAATGATATTACAAAAAATAAGAGTGTTTTCGATCACTGCAACCTAACAAATTTTAAAGTTCACTTAGGATCCACTATGTACCCGTATGATAATTTGAATTTAGATTTTGATCTTTCCAGATTTGCTGTTTTGTACGAAATGTATGTTAATTTTCAACAATCGTATTATGGTAATGTAAGTGAACCCTTATTCGATCCTAAGGAATTTCGAATAATTGCTCCTCTTGTAATAGTAGACTGCTCTTATCAAAATGAAATTGTGTATCGATATTCGTTCAAACTAAACGCAATATACCAGATAAAACAGCAGCTTACTGTTTAATCATTCATGATCGTGTGATACGTTACAATCCCTCTACAAACTTGGTTCAAGAAGTATAAAACCAAACGACTACATCCATATTTCACTTTCTTTACCGGTACTGAACAGTGAGCACGATGACTTTCATACTAGATGTACAAGGTTTTCAATGTTATGAGAATCGATTTGTTTTCAAGTAAGTAGCTATTGTTGCGCTAAAAGAAGAACTGTTATAATAAATAAATTTGGCAATGAAAATACATTGATATTGTACTAAATCAAGTTGGCAAAACTGTATTTTTAATATTGTAAGTTGCCGACCGGATAAAGTTAGTTAGTTGCTGTTCAAGTCTGTAAGCGTCCATTTTATAGAAAAATAAATATCTTCAAACATCGAGTATTATAGTTAATTTTACAACTGGTTATGGGCCCAGAAGCGCTTACCAATTAGTAAATTGATAGTGTGGCATAAAAACTATATTAACTATCAAGTGTGTTGAAAAATCGGCAAAAAGTGAAATTAGTCTTATCGGCGCATAGCGTGGTCAATCGAGAATATTTTCGTCGGGAAGAAAAATACTTGTTACAGNACACACACACACACACACACACACACACACACACACACACACACACACACACACACACACACACACACACACACACACACACACACACATAATACAAAAACCACAATCACATAATTAATACACAAACACATACGCCTGAAGAGGAAAAACACATAAAACATACCCGGTCGCTGTTGAGACATAATCTACGTTCACGTTGTCAACGCAGCACTACCGCTGAGGATGTCAGCCGCAGTAGCTGACGAAACGTCTAGACACAATAGTTCACTTAGACCACGGCCCTATAGCCCGAATCTTCTTTCTACTATAAATTCCGGCCGTGAAAGCCTTTGTTCTTATATGGTGACGTAAGTGTTTATGTAATGTTGGGACTGTAATCTTTTATTGGTGAAGAAGTAGAGTAATGGTAATGGAAAAAGTGTATAGAAGATAAAATTTGTTATTTACAGTGTACTACCCGTTTATGATTTTAATGGAGAGGTGGCGCAGAAAAATGTTAAAATGATGGTAGTAAATTTGGTGGAAATCGACATGGTTCGAAAAATCATAATGTTAAATTTCACAGGCAGATATCTATATCTAGCTATAATCAAAGGTTCTACTACCGAATAAACACCATGCCGCCTTGTAAATTTACAAAACATTCCAAAAATTGTATACAGGAATTTTATGACCTGCATCAAGAAGAACGGTTTCTGAACATATAAATTAGTGTAATTAATGAGTTGGACGAGTGAGTAGTACAAAAATCAGATAATGAGATGTAGTATAAGAACAGAAGAAACATATTTATAAAATCCCTCAACGTGATATATGATGGGGTTAAAAGTGTAAAACGGACCATTTATAATTTATTTATTGAAGCATAAGGAGATGTAATCTTGCAATAAGTTATGTTCTTAAAAGATGCTACCCAACCTAAATTATCGGAATCTAAAAGAAAAGAAAATTAAATTGACAAAATGTTAACACTTTCAAACTTAAAAAATAGATGTCATCATCATAAGGTCATCAGTCTTTAGACTGGTTGGACACGTACCTCCACTCTTTCCTNAAAAAAAAAAAAGTTGACAAAATGTTAACACCTTCAAACTCACTTAAAAAATAGAAGCAGTGAAAAAAAAGTGTTTCTCTTGTGAAATATTTGTTTAACGGTAACTAAAATGATCCCACTTAAAAAAGTATGAGAATAATTCTTTTTAATCGTTAACCCCCATACTTTTATCCCCAGAAAATGTATGAAGGATGGACAATAGTGAGAAAATGTTTTAATAGAAAAAAGTTAGCCCTTCAATGAAGAAAGTTCTCCACCCAGCGAAAGTGGTGAGCCGCTGTTATAAGAAAAGAAACCCCTTTGCCACTGTTAATATCTACAACTCAGTCTACTAGTTGGCACTATCACAATAGCTGAATTCACACAACTACTCCTTTCGGACTTAACGCGCCTGAGCCCCCTCCGCCCACCTCTGGCGCCTGCCCCCCCCCCCAGTAACCCATATCCTAGGAAAAATAAAATCCTAAAAAAGCAGGTATCTTCGTATTTCATCGTTTACAGCTAATGTACTCTCCCTACTTTTTGCTGTAATACCGCTTCTAACACCCCTTTACCTACCCCGTTTTATTTTTAATTTTCTTTTAATTTTGTTTATTTAGGCTTGTGTTTTTTTTTAATTATTATTCCATAATTATTATTACTACATACATACGCAAATTATTATTCCCATACATACTTACGTACTAACTACCATTACACTTAACTATTCACACGCACCTTTCCCCGGGTCTTTAGGTACATGCGCCAACTGCTGCGCCAAATTTTGCGCACCCAAATAGAACCGCTCGTCAGCTGCAGGATTTCTCTTTGAAGACGAGCGACCTTGTCTTCAAGAATAGTCCTGCAGTTTCACATTTGGGCGAGCTCTGTGCTCATGTTACCGCGAACATCACGCTTCTTCCCCAAAGCTGACGTCAGTGCCGCTATCTTTGCTCGCACGTGATGAGCACTTACCACAATTACCATGACGCCTTTTAAACGCTGCATCTCCTGCGAAAGCGTCATGGGGGTGTCGGGAAGAGGTGCTATTGGTAATACGCATCACGGAGCCATCGTCACATCTGTGGCTCATGTACCTTTTCCCACCAGGCCTTCACGTTGCTGTAATGTTGGAGTCGTCGTCGACGGCGGCGACAGCGTTTCTGCTGGGGTCGCCGTGCTTACCAACCTGTTATCAACTATTAATTGTTTATAATATATTTATGAAATACCCATTTACTACATTATCTGCTTAAGCCAGTTTAATAAACAGTACAATTTTCGCTCTTTCCGGTATCTTCTGTCTCACTCACTCTACATCGAACAACTTCCTTTTTTCCCATCGTTTGGAGATGTCCTACCACCACATCCATTCGTACCGTTTCTTACACAACCTATCAATACCTCTACAATCTGTAATTTTACGTTTGTAGATGAGTCTTCCGTGAAGCCGGGCTGCAGTATACTTGCATCACACATACCTCCTGTTGTCAGCGGTCTTCCGCATTTGTAACGATGGTGATGATGTCTACCGTGAACATGTAATACGAACATGAACACTATTTCTCACATTTACAAACCTCCTCATCTACACTGTCTTCTTCGTAGCAACTGCTACACAACACCAACGTTGTATTTTCATGTAAGTCAGCTTCCTTTCGGTACACGTGTATTCGTTAATGTTGTCACATACACTACGCTCAGAATATGTTCCAATGAGCAATTATTTTCCATCGTGTATTTATGCTGCACATAACCCTTCTTTATTCGTCTTTCGCTATTATCTCATATCTCTCCGTTGACTGGAAAAACTGTCGGTAACTGTTTTCAATATTCAAACCTGATCGCCATGACTGTATCCAGTCGTCCTCACATACGTCCGCTCTGAAGTCTGTGCGATACAATATAGGTAGCGCACCGACTTCTATACCATTAAATAATCTTAATGAACGGTTCTCGAACCACGATGTTCTACAAACGAATCCCATGCTGCCTACACCATTACTGATTACACAATATATTTTTCTTTCTATATTAACAACTCTGCAGATCCTCGCTTCCGCCACTCTTATCTTCCTCCTAAAATTCTTTTCATCCGACTCATTCCGCACTCCTCCAAATCATATAAATTTCCACATCTTCCATTCCTTCAGCAGAAGACTTCTTCTCTCGAAAAGACAAATTTCACTCTACAACATGTATTACTGCATTACTTTCAACGGTGCAACGTTAGAAACTACTACAGCACCCTTCACCATTTTTCAATGCAATGGTTGAAAATCTTCCAATGGAGTGGTAACAACATGGACCGTTGCCAGCAAGAAACGCCCGGTAACTTTCTGTTTGGAGATGGATGACTACCTTCGTGACGTACACGCACAAGGAAGCGGTACCATATATACGGTATTTTACATATTAAACATTTCAGTTGTACTTAATAAAATACGTTCTTTATTGAAAGAAATGTAATGTTTGGTATTGTAGCGACCACGAGCGTGATTGTGTGCTATCGGCCATACGTGTGTCTGAGCGGCTTATTGATTCGCCGACTAGCCGCGGGCGCTTTTCTTCGTGTGCGCCGTATCTGTAAACGTGTATGTCGTACCTGCTTTCCGGGAAAGCAATTAAACCGTTCAATGAAAACGAGACTTCTCTGGAAGGCTGGAGAACGTTCCCGAAAGGAGGCAAGGGAGTATAAAAAGGAAGAGACGATCGCCGGAGTAGAGTAGAAATAAATTGACCGTTGCAGAGGTGAATCAAGAGATAAATTGAAAGTGATAGACGTGAAATAAATAGAACAGTGAATGGTAACAGTAGTGTAAATAAATAGCATAATTACCTAAGTTTAGTAATAAGTTAATAGTGTTTTTAAGTTCTTCAATAATAATTAGTGTAAATAAATAGTTTTCTTCTTAAAAGTTAATTTGTTAAACCCACGAACATTACAACTGGTGTCAGGTGTGGGGTAAAAGACATTACAATGGAAAAGAAGTTGTACAGACATTGTAGGAATCTAACCCGTGAGCAGAAATGCAAAGTGCAACATCTACTTTGTCAGAATGCCGACGTCTTTGAGACTGACAAGAATGGTAGGGGAAGGACCAATATCGTAAAACACAAGATCAATACCGGAAATGCGCAGCCTATTCGTCAAAGACCTAGCCGATTACCCCTGCCCAAAAAGGAAGAAGCAGAGCGAATAATCCACGAAATGCAGGAGACCGGCATAATTGAATCATCCTCAAGTCCATTGACGTCACC